ATAAAAGGTAGAGAAAATTACATTTTTATCCCACAACACTATGTGTAAAATTTAGGGATGCTTTTTTTAGTCTTCAAAAATAAAGTGTTTTTGAAAATAACTCTTTTTGTAATTTTAACTGTTTTTAGGTAAGAGGAAAGATTTTTGGAGAAAATTACTCTTAATGAAACCTCCTCATATTCAAGTGCATAGGTTGAAAAAAATGTTGCTTGTTTTTTAGAAAAAAAAATCAACCCCACCAATATTTAGGAATAATGATATAAAGCTGTAAAAACTAACAATACAAGATTTAAATTATAAGAAAAGAAAGATGAAAGAGAAGAAAGAATGGTCATAATCATAATCATGCACAAAAATGAACAAATGGGAAAAAAAGAAAAAGAGAAGTGGAGACAAAGCTATTTTGGTTTTCAGTGAGTCTTTAATTTTTTTCCTTTGGTTGGAGGGGTTTCTGCAGAAGGATCCCAAAGCCTTGATAACTACAATCCTAAGGATGTACTAGTGGTATACAGCTGCTATAAGTGCTTCAATGAAAGGAACAACTCAAAAAACTCAACAAAAAATATTGTTACATGCCATGTTGAAAAAAAAAATTGTTACACACCACATTTAAGGTGTTTAACTCCAAGAGTTTATGTCCTAGTAAATACAAAAGTAAAGATCAAATTACACATCATGTTTAAAAAATAATATTGTTACACGTCATATTTTAAAAAAATTATTGTTACACGCCATATTGAAAAAAATTATTTTTACACGTCATGTTTAAAGTATTTAACTCCGAGAGTTTATGTCTTTGTAAAATGCAAAAATAGAAACCAAATTACAAGCCATGTTGAAAAAAAAAGTTGTTACACATATTGAAAAAAAAAAGGTTATTACACGTCATGTTTAAGGTGTTTAATTCTAAAAGTATACGTCCAAGTGAAATACAAAAAAAGAGACTAAGTTACGTGCCATGTTGAAAAGAAAAATGCTACACATCATGTTTAAAGTGTTTAACTCTAACAATTTATGTCTTAGTGAACGATAAAGGTCAAGGCCAAGTTACACTCCATATTAAAAAAATAAGTTGTTACACGTCATGTTAAAAAAATATATATTACACGTCATGTTTAGGGTGTTTAATTCTAAGAGTTTATATCCTAGTGAAATACAAGGATAAAGATCAAGTTACATGTCATGTTTAAACCATGCCATATTAAATAGATTTGTTACACGCCAAATGCATTAGAGTTGTTACATACAGGTAAGGCATGTAACAACTTTGAACAGTATTCTAATTTACATATTTCACTTATATAATTTCAACCCATTAACTTTGGTGTTCTGTGAATGTAAATCAATAAACCCAAAAACATACATTGATATCATCTTTGTTTTTTGATCTGTAAATCGATGACGCTATGACAACAAATAGAAAGAGAGATGGAGATGGTGGTAAAATTAAAGAGAGCTGGATGGCGGGAGAGAGAAATCAAGAGCACAGTAGATTGATGCGGGAGAAAGAAATTGATAAAATTAGAGAGAGCTTAATGGCTAGAGAGAGAAATCAAGAACACAATAGAAGGATGCTGGAGACAGATATTAAGAATTTATAATAAATAGTTTAATTTATCTGAAATGACTTCAAATGTATTTTTGTCAAATCATGGTAAAAATTAAATAAAAGTAATTTATATTAAGGATTAAAATTTATAAGAGCTGAAAAATAATGCGTTAATCATTCTCGCATGCAAAACAAAAGTGAGATTGTAGCCACTTGCACTCGCTATATAAAGCTTTGCCTTGGTATTCAACCATGTAACCAACCAAGTGCAACTCATTACATTTAGTGTTACCATGGCAGTCTCGAGCTTGAAGCATAAGTCGCTCATTGTACACCGCCCCATTTTGGAGGTTATTTAAACAATTCTCTTTTTGTTTTTCTTCCTCTACTAGCTGTGGTTTGGGATTGTTAAAGGAAAGTCTCCCTGTTATTAACAAAGTGTAACTAAGACTATTACTGTATTGCAGTACATCTTAGAAAAAAATGCCTATCCCAATGAGCACAAGCAACTGAAGGAATTAAGAGAAGCCACTGCCGAGAAGTACGGAAAAAAGTATGTTCATCTTTCATTTAAAGTGGTTTGCTTCCAATCTAATTAATTACCGGCAGGCTGCAGCTCTTTTCTAACACTGCTTATGTAATAAGCTAATGTTAATTCTCCTTCTCCAATTAGAATTATAATGTACTTTTTACAAATCTGATTTTGCTTGATCTATTGCAGAAGCATCATGAATGTGCCTGCTGATGAAGCACAGTTTCTATCTGTGCTTCTAAAGGTCATGAATGCCAAGAAGACAATGGAAATCGGGGTTTTTACAGGTTACTCCCTGCTTGCTACTGCCCTTGCGTTGCCTGACGATAGCCAGGTGAATTTCTGTTTTCTCAGCCACTCTATTTTTCCTCTGATAATCTGTAATTCATCATTTCAATGGCAGACTTCTGATTGCCATATAAAATTTTTCCTCTTGCTAGATAACAGCAATTGATCTGGACAAAGAAGCTTACGAGACTGGATTGCCATTCATAAAGAAGGCTGGAGTAGAGCATAAGATTAACTTCGTCCACTCAGATGCCTTTTTAGTTCTAAATGACCTTATTAATGGTGTAAGTATATCATCAACTTGATATAAATAGTGGTGAACTCGAAAGAAAAGAACTTGGCGCCTTGAAATTGCTTAGTAACAGAGTATACGTGCTAGGACACCTTAAAAAATTATAGGTTCAAAGAGTTAACAACTTGTTTAGCTTGAGCCAAGAGAAACGATGCATAAGTTTGATACATTTAAGTATATGTTTATACATTGTTACTCATAAATCTTAATTTGTAAAATTTTTGTAAAATATTGATAAAGTAATGAGTTATAAACTGTTTAGTGTAGTAACGATAAGTTCAATTGACAAACAGGAGGATGAAGGGACCCTGGATTTTATATTTGTGGATGCCCAAAAGAAGGATTATATGAAACTTCATGAGCAAGTGCTGAAATTGGTCAAGGTTGGAGGAATTATTGCTTACGATAACACCTTATGGTTTGGCTCGGTTGCATACGAGGAGGAGAAGGATGAGATGCCCGAATTTGTTTGGGGAACCAGGGAGTATGTAATTCAATTTAATAGCTTCTTAGCAGCTGATCCTCGAATTGAATTGTCTCTTCTTTCCATTGGTGACGGTGTCACTCTCTGTAGGCGCCTCCACTAGTGAAACTTTTGCTGATATTTGCCTTCTTTAACAGTATCCAACAAGCCGTGGCCAAAAAATAAAGAACAAGAAAAACAGTATGTAACAACTAAGAAGCTTGAATAAAAGTACATATCTATTGTCCTACTTCTGCTTTTCTTCTTACAAACTTAGTATTACACAAGTACAGACAAGACAATCGTTGCAGCAATGAGCAGCAAAACGAAGAAAACGAGGACGAAGCTCGAATCAAAGTACAGCGAGCAAAGAAAGTAAATAAAAGAGCAACTATAGCCTAGCAACAAGCAAAGGCAATACAAAAAAAAGGGTAGAATTATGGGTTTGGGCACTAGTTTTGGTAACAGGACTCTACCCAGAGATTAATCATTATCAACAACTCCCTGATCATAAAACAACAAAGTTCGGCTGTTGGCTCTAACGTCACCACCAACAGCATAAAACATGAAATCTCTATATGGGGAATATTTGCCTTTGCCTCTTTCGAATTTCTTTACTAATAGCAATTGGCAGATCCTTCAACCATTGCTACTGAACATTTAGCCATGTGAGCAGAGAAGGCAGCTGAGGGGGGGGGCGCTTGGGGCACAGCGTGGGTGACATCCATGATTCGCGTTGGCATTTTGCCCTGCCTTTCAGGCTCCAAAAAAGTCTCCTCCAAAGCTCTCTTTCTTTTGGTTTGCCTTTCCCCACCCTGCCATATAAAGCCACGTGGCAGCATATCGAATCTCAAATTCAGAGCGCCCGTTGATAAAGACAACGAGACAGACAGCAGAGAGTCGAGTGAGCTTAGCCAGCTTACGGCCAAAAACACACGGCCTTTTTTGATCTCAGCTTTAGTCGTCAGGGTGTTTTTTTTTATAGCAAAATTTCATGATTTGTCCCACCTGACTCACGCGTTCTCCCTGCTCGTGAGCGAACACCTCCACGAATAAACACGGATGTGTGCAGAGCAATCTCTTGAAGGAGAGTGGCGTTGATTTAAAATATAAAACTTATATATTGGGTTTTAGTGTTAAGAAAGTTTCGACGACTTTGGTCACTGGAGGGCCAGGAGTGTTCTGAAGACGGCCTGCCATGTGGAATGAAGCAAATAGACCGCCTTGGACTTCTTTCCACTCTCGACACAGAGTTTGCTTTCGTCTATCTAAAAGTCTAAATTACCCTCCCCTTTTTCTTTCAATTATTAACTCTAGCTTGCATAATACGCCTTTATAAGTAGAAATCATCATGGGATGATGATATTTTGGATTTTGTCACAGGAATAGCATGTTCGTATTTCTACCCTCTAACAACAATGATGCTTGAGTATGTTAAAATCAATTGAGGGAAGAAAAAAGTGGTTTACCAATTAGAAAAGTGAAGCATATTCCACGAGCAGACCAAAAAATTAGGGTAGTTTTGACTTTTGACGTTTAGGCCACTGCCTCACTCCTCACTCGCATAATAAGTCAGGGGCCAACAGGACCGGGGCCTCTCCCTGTTTTTCTTCTGTTCTATGCTCTTATCGTCTGAGACTGAGAGACCGCTATAACCAGCAGCAGGAATCGCAATAATAATAATAATAATAATAATAGCATTCAGGTGATTAAAGGCGTTCTGAGATTGGAAATGAGTGTAGTTAGGACTCAAGGAAGCTGTGTGGCGATCCGCTCTCTTTCCCCTTCCTCGTCCATCAACCGTGCTCTCACGGTTCTGCTACTTCCGGTATTCCTCTCTCTCTCTCTCTCTCTCTCTCCTCTCTCTCTCAGCATCGTTCAATTTCCACGTTGTTCAAGCAATTCGATGTTCATTTTGCAAATCGAAATATATATATATATATATATGTAGTTCTAGCTTTTCCTAATGCCCTGCAATGGTGTTGATTATTCAATAGTTGATTCGCTTAACATGTTCAATCAGTGTTCATTTTTCGTTGGATTTATGATTCAATGACGTAGAACTGAAACGTTTCTTTATATATATATATATATATAATAAAACAAAAAGAAAAGAGAATGATAATGATGAATATATTTCAATCAGTGGGGACTGGGGAGAGGGGCACTATCTCAACGAATCTGGTGCTTTAATGGTGGACATAGATTCTGTCATTTTCCTCCAATCGGAACAGAAGCCGGGAGTACGACTGAAACTCATTTCATGTCCACAGATTTTAGTTTTTCTTTTCTGCCCTGATTAATCTCCATTTGGCGCCGCAGGATAGGGGATCGATTTCAGCATGATTCTAGCGAATTTTCATTGAAACCATTCTGGAATATCTTCCCCATTGTTCTCTCATCTCTCTGACTTTCATTATGCCGGATTTGGCGCAATTTAGGGTTTCTGTAGCGGTCCAACTTCTTCCTTGCTTCCATCGTTATCCGCCTATTTCTCCTTGGCGCCCACAAGTGAACGGTCCATGATTAGCCTAGACTTGTCCTCATCAAACACATCAAGATGTCACCCGCACTTGAATACACCCGAGACCTAGACGATAGACACCCAACCTACGTAATTAAAGTTTTGACTAAACCCAACAATATCTTTTGTTGTTGGATCCATTATTATTGTTTTTTATAAAATATTTTAACGATTTTGTGTATTCACAGGATTGACCCTTCTCATGTCCTTGATTTTCGTACGACGGTGATGCGTCTGATGTGAAGTTTGATTTAATCTTCTTTTTACAAATGATAGAAAAGTCTTATCTTAATAATGCCTCATTTTTTTTTATTTAGAAGAAATATTTCTTAGCCTTAGAATTTATCTAAATTCACTTTCGTCTGACGATTCGCTCACGCGTGATCGTGGAGCGTGTCGTACAGATCCGACCCCCTTTGGATTCTAGTGCTCACATGGGAGGCTATATGTGTCCACATGTGGTCGGGGAAGAGGTCCCACGTTAACAGCTAATGCGCGTGTCCAAATTCTAAAACCACCCCATCTTTGTTATTCCTTGAGTTTGTCCGGTGAATTTCGACAAAGAATGGCTTAAAATTTCCTACTAACTTTCTACACTGCCATACGCAAAATAGTAACTGTTGGGGCTTGTCGAATAGATATATAGTTACGGAGCGCGTACACGAGAACCTCGTCTGTGGGGTCTCGGGTAATGGTAGTAAGCCACTAGGCCAGTCATCTGATGGTGGTCCCTACCACTTACATAGGAGTGCTACAAAGAAGAAGTGAGAACTGCTATATCCACTTTTATGGTTCGTTTCATAGTATCCAAAAATCATGGGCCAATTCTTGCTGGATGCAGCAAATCAGTAGTGGAAATAGGAAGTTTCTTGGACGCCTGAACTTCTTTTCTCTTTTGTCAAGTGAAAATTTCGGAAGTTATGGTTGCTATGAAATGGTTTGGTGTAGCTCTGGGGCCAGGTTTGCTAAGCACTTGCTTCTGCTTGTTTTTTGGCATTTTTTTTTCCATCTCTTTGTTGGTTTCAAGCTGTGAGCCTGTGACTGTAAACTTGGCTGGCTATGTAAAAACAAAAAAAATCGCTCCAATGGTTGTATGCAGATGCTGCAACATGTGGGACGCCTGCTTGGATTGGTAAGGGCCTTACTTGTGTTTGCTTCAAGCGGAAGGGAGCTTATGAACGGATCTGCATTAACTTGACACCCCTACAGGCAAGTTCATAATGATGATGTTTTTTTATTAACATGGGGAAAGAAAACAAACAAAAGTATATGCACTGTGAATGGTTGCTTACGATTTGGACTAAAATTGAAAAGGTTGTTTCTTTACTGATAGTGCTCCAGAAAAAATGTTTCTAGAGAGTAGGCTAGCTTGCCACCCTGTCTTGATCGTGCCTTGTTAGGTTCAAAACCAGAAACTGATTACATTGCAGGTTTAAACCGTTTTGAGAAAGATTGCAAGATGCTTAACATTAAGCAACTTTTCTTTGGAAAGTTCTTGGCATTGTTACATTAGCCAACTTATTCAGGTAATTTCCCCGTATGTGATAGTTTCATTAGCAAGTTGCAGGAAGAAAGATTGAAGAGATTGAAGCACCGGATGAAGGTTTACTTTGATGGCTCTAGGCCCGATCACCAGGTTTGCATTTTACACAAATTTTATATTTGAAAGGTGCTTTACACTATAATATTGTCCATTGAGGACAGTAACTTGAATCGGAGGGCCCTATGGTCTCTTGAGAACAACCAAATATCCGTACAGACAAGCATATGCTCATGCAATAGTTATGACTAAAGATGGTGTGATCTAATTACCAGTTCTATGTGCATTTTTCTCGTAAAATATTTTCTTTAACCCAAACTCACTGATTCAAATTTTTCATGATGACAGGAAGCCCTGAGAGCACTGTGGTCTGCTACATACCCTGGACAGGAGCTCCATGGCTTGATATCTGATCAGTGGAAAGAAATGGGATGGCAGGGAAGGGATCCATCTACTGATTTCAGGTTGGCTTTACTTGCTTTTCTTTGGCAAATTCTTTATTTTGTTCTGTGTCCCCTGACATTTTTTCGTGATCAAACAGAGGTGCTGGATTCATTTCTTTGGAGAACCTGTTATTCTTTGCAAAGACATTCTCGGTAAGTATATGAATTTAAGATATGCTAATTAGCTAGCCAAAATTCAGTTAAGCATTGTCAGGAGCATTGCTTGGATTAAGTGACAGTTCTTGGTTTCAAGTCATCTCTCCTTACCTCTGTTTGTGGCATCAGATAATACACAAAATCACTTTGTGGGAGGACCAGCCATATAGTGTAGGAGCCTCAGCGTCCAAGTAAATTACCACTACTATTTTGCATTGTGAAATCTGAACTTGTCACTTGTTATTGCAGACATCATTTCAACGTTTATTAAAAAAGCAGGGAGGAAAGCGAGCTGCATGGGAGTATCCATTTGCCGTTGCTGGTGTAAATATCACATTCATGATCATGCAAATGCTTGACCTTGATGCGTGTAAGTGGAAAATGAATAGGTGAACTATGTTTGTGTTCTACTTCTGAATATCATATCTAGTAATTAAACCTTGAAGTACGATATTTTAATATGACTCCGTGTTCATTAGTTTATTTAACTTGAGGATGTAGCTAATGCCCGCTTATTCATTTTTGCAGCAAAACCTAGGACATTTATCCGATCAGTTTTCTTACAGATGTTATCAGGTAAGAGCTGCAACTAATCCTAGTAAACAAAGCATTAGGGTTGTTTCTGGTCTAGTATCGCCTTACCTGCCAATGGTGAAATGGCTCAGATATAAACATAGCAGTTAGCGGTCCTGCTTGGATTAAGCTAATACATGCACTAATTGACTGGATTATTTCTCTGTACTTTTTCTTTTCTGCAATGAATGTTCAGAAAATGAATGGGCATTTGACTTGCTTTACTGCGTGGCTTTCATGGTTATGGACAAGCAATGGCTGGAGAGAAATGCCACGTACATGGAGTTCAATGTGAGAATCTTTATATCTTTGCTCATAAGATTACACCCATGAAAGTCCCCATTTTGCAAAAATTACTGGCATTGGCAATTCTGGCTAGTCCTCAATAATTTTACTGCCTGGTTGTAAAAGCTTGTCTGCATGTTTTCCTTCAGGATGTTTTGAAATCAACTCGGGCTCAGCTGGAGAGAGAACTTCTAATGGATGATGTCCTACGGATCGAAGACATGCCTTCTTATAGCCTTCTCTGTTAGCAATAACCAACTATAAAGTTCAAGCGGGAGTCCTCCAATACCAGTTCAGTCCCATGATATATTTATTTTAACTTTAAAAGTTGTACAATCCCTCTTCCTGTCCCTTTCTTCTGGTAATTGAATCCATAAGCTGGTCATATTGATACATGTTAGTTCCCCTTTGATAGATTCCACCATTCCAACCAACTGTTATAAAATTGTTTTCGATGGGGGCGAACAGGGAAAGAATCGAAATCGTTGATCTTGTTCTGAGTTTGTGAGGTTCATCCTAGAAATTCAAAAGGTAGTCAAGGGCCTCTACTTGAGTTATTTGATTCTAGTGTAATTTAGATGGGGATAAAAATTTCAAGTTTAGGTTTTGGAGATAGAAGAAACTTACCTATAGGAAATTGGGAACTAAAGTGCGGCAATCAGCACAAAACCTCAAAAAGCACAATCAGTTTGGGTTAAAGTACAATTGGATTTATAAACTTAAAAGAGAAAACGAGCTAAGTTCATTGCACTGCAAACGTCAGTCATGGTATTAAGTTATAGAAAATTTGAACTGTTAAAAGACTCATGGGGTGAGAAAATCTTGGGCAAAATTCCCATAAATTACAGGTGTAGTTTATTGTCCCATAGACGGAGCAGATTAATAATGGTTGCCAATGTGAAGCTGTCACAAATCATCAACCATTCACAAAGTAATTGATGTTAGAGCATTCTATCAAAGGAAAATTAAAAAGTCCTCTCTTTTGAGCCCAATTGCCCATGACCCCCCCCCCAATCTTAAGAAAGAAGCCCTTTGGGTGCGTACGCAGGACGGGGGATGTCACTTTTCCTTTTTGTAGACAGCTACTTGTAACAATAAAGTACATATATAGAGCTTGGTTTGAAGATTACTTCTTTACAGGTAGGCCCTGATTTGGGCTTCCCTGGCACTCTTGGCATCTAATCCTCAAAATCACCGCACCTAAATTCATACCTTGAATGAGGGTCTAATGATAAGGAAGAGACACCTTAATTCCCATTATATGTTTGTTAAAAAGGTGAATGAGGTGGAATGTATTGGTTTGAAAATGATTCACTAACTATCCTCAACTGGCAAGAATATATGTTATGTTCCCTAATCAAATGGAATCTCTAAAATTATTGCAAATAAGAATATCTTTGAGCATCCCAAAAATATATAATCCATATTACTAGTTCCAGCATCACTTGCTCACGACTGAACCTTGGGATCAGATGGTCCAGATTCTCCAGTTACTGCCATTTTGCAGCTGAATCACGTTAAAAAGAAACAAAAAAAAAAAAACAAAAAAGAAAGCACAACTGTTGTTGAGTCTGACATTCTAACACTGGATGTAAAACTGTTCCATTTGGACACAGATTGCTTAGGAATCAAGTTGCTGTTAAATCCAATCCAAGACTTTACCTAAGCGGAATGTTCATATACTACATCAAATATTATACAATGCTTGATTAGTAATACATACCTGAGTGAGAAACGTCTCTTTATTCTATTAAAGAAGGAACCCCTGCTTAACGTATTATTAAAACGGAGAGTCATATATTGTCTTTCTGCATAATTTAAATTCAAAATAATGAGGAGAGGGAAAGGCTGAACCTGGAAAATCCACAAAAATCGGATGACTCTTGAACCCAAAGCTTCAGGAGCACCTACCTCTGTCAGCCTTGTCTTTTAAGCAAAAACTCACAGCCCATTATTCTCTCCCTCTCTCACCATGGTTTCATTGCTTATCAAACAACTCACTCAGACCAACAGCTTCCACCGTCCTGTAGTCCAAGTCTCCTAGCCGACGCGTCCAGCTTCCAGCAGTTTCAAGTGTCTCAGCAGCAGCTGTCACCGACGCAGGGATCATCAGATGGGATCATTTCAAGCGCCTACTGGGACGAGAAGCTCTGCATTGTTAGAAACTTCATGTGGATATTTACTTCAAGAATTGCAGGCAAGAGATTTTCCCCCTTTTTTCCCCTTTTGATCTTTTACATAAGCTAATGGTTATAACCTGCTCTATGCTTTCTGATATTGTAATGGAAAAGATGATATGGGATGAGGTTGGAGAGGATCAGTTAGAAAGAGAAAAGGTTCTACTAGAATTGGAACAGGAGTGTCTGGAGGTCTACAGGAGAAAAGTTGACCGTGCAAATATATCAAGAGCTCGACTACATCAGGAATTGGCAGAATCTGAAGCTGAATTTACTCACCTTCTTTTGTCTCTTGATGAACGATCTCTTCCCGGACGGGTACCTTATTTATCAACCTCTGCCCTGTTTGAAGCTAGTGGTCATATTTAACTTACACACAAAAATTTCGAAAATGCATGGTGTTGCCTATGGTTCAAAACATTAATTGCCCAAAATGATCTGCATTTCATTGATTTTTCTCATAGTAAAGGACCAACTGACAAGAACTTTCCCCTATCACTTGAAAAATTGTGCAAAACTACATGACTTTGAGTGATTGATCCAGTCAAAGATGAAGAGTAGGAGCATATGTTAAGTAGCAAAACTAATTCTTATTGTTTATTGCCTGGTTTCATGATCTTCGACTTAATGTCTCTGCAGCCAGAGAAAATGTCAGGAACACTAAAGCAACAACTAGATTCCATTACGCCAGCATTGCGTGATATGCGGTTAAGGAAAGAAGAGAGAGTGAATCAGTTCCAGGCTGTGCAAGGGCAAATTCAGAAAATATCTGCTGAAATTGCTGGTCAGTCAGAGTATGATGACTCAATAACAAATGTCATAGTGAACGAGAACGATCTTTCTTTGAAGAAACTAGAGGAATATCAGAATGAGCTACAAAGACTCCACAATGAGAAGGTACAATACTTTCTTGGAAATATGATTAATGAAGTTGTGCAGAGGAATCATCCTAATTAACATCTACTTTTTTTTCCTGTTTCCTTCATTCTGAAGAACAACAGACTCCAGCAAGTGGAAAAATATATAGATGCTGTTCACAACTTGTCTGCAACCTTGGGGATGGAATCCTCCATGATTATTACAAAGGTTCACCCAAGCTTGAATGAATTGTGTGGGATTTCAAAAAACATAAGTGATGGTATTTTGGCCAAACTCAACAGCACTGTGGATTCTCTCCAAGAAGAAAAGCAAAAGCGGCTTGAGAAGGTACTGTCATGCTGGCATTCTTCTGAACAAATCTTATTAGAGGACAAAGTAAATTGCTATCTAACCTCATAAATGACAACATAAACATAACATCATGGTAAAAACAGAAAACTTTGATTACTTGAGTGATCAACCTTTCCTTCCTCTGTTTCCCATGAAAGATAATAAAAAGATTCTTCCATAATCATCTGTCTTCCTTTTAGCTCAGTCGTAAGTTAAAGTTTCTGACAAAATCTTTTGCCAAATTTGTCTACTTCGCAGCTTCACCATCTTGGTAAAGCATTGACAAACTTGTGGAGTCTAATGGATACACCCTATGGAGATCGCTACTTGTTTTCCCACATCATTGATCTACTATCAGTCTCATCACCAGAAGTATCAGATCCTGGAAGCCTTACCCTGGATATAATCCAACAGGTTGGTGCTATTATCATCACTTCAAACTATTACAACAAGTTTATGTTAACACTTTTTTCAATGTTCCAAGGCTGAAGCTGAAGTCAAGAGGTTGGATCAGTTAAAGGCAAGCAAAATGAAAGAGCTATTTCTCAAAAAACAGAATGAGCTTGAAGAGATATGCAATAAATCACACATGGAGATTCCTTCAAGATCAGAGATGGAAAATATACTAAACCTTATAAACTCAGGTGGGATTGAGGAAATAACATCTTTTATCAAGATAATTTCCTTCTTACTTGTTTAAATGCAAAGTAATCCATGATCTAACTATAACATATAAAGGGGAGATTGACCATGCCGATCTCCTCATGAGCATGGATGAACAGATATCAAGAGCAATGGAAGAAGCCTTGAGCAGAAAATCAATCATGGAGAAGGTGGAAAAATGGATGCTAGCTCGTGATGAGGAGCGCTGGCTGGAAGAATATAGCATGGTTACTCATCTCAGAACAATTTTTCTGCAAAATTAGTTGGTTATCTCTATCGCTGAATCACTTTCGTGAATATTTCCAGGATGAGAATAGATATTCAGTCAGCAGAGGTGCCCACAGGAACCTGAGACGTGCAGAACGGGCACGAGTAACAGTCAACAAAATCCCAGGTAAAATAGAAAAGTCCCTTCATATTAGAAAAATATATGCCCCATAAAAAGCTGATGCTCGTTAAAGCACTCGATGCATTGACCTACTTTTACCAGACCAGAGAAATTTATAAGAAGTGCATAGCTAATGGTACATGGAATTCATTAACTGGCCTGAGCAAAACAGTTAAATGAATATTGTGAAACCTAAGTCACTGAACTATGGTACATAATTTAATTAGGTTGTGTGAAGCCTTCAGCACTCTACCTTAAAGCATGATTTTCAAGTGTCAACCCCGTGAGTCTTGTGTGCATGAATGTATGTATGTATTTATTTTTGAACATTCAAATTTTCACAAAATGGCTTCATGCAGCATTGGTGGATTCACTCATAGCAAAAACAAAGAGTTGGGAAGAAGAAAGAAAGAAAATTTTCTTGTATGATGAGGTAAGATCATATATTTCATATGATTATGGATTGATAAAAACATATTTTCTTTGATTGTGTGACAATAACGTGCATGATGCTGAAAATGGAAAAGGAAGCACCATTCTTCACCTAAAGTTAGAAGTTAAATCGCAGACAGCAGTTCAAAAATAGTAAGATCAATATAAATCAGGCATATACGAAAAAGGTTAGCAACTATATCCAGCATAATTGATTCAGTTTCCAAAAAAACTCACGACTAGTTATTTCAGAACGTCAACATGCTTTTACATTTAGGTTCAATATGAAACACTGCAAAGTACATAGTTGAAATTTATCCTCAGACACACCTTCCTTCTCAAGGCCTATAGAAGCCACTCAAACATTGAACCGATTATTCTTCCTGAGCAACCCTTTTTCATGAGATCATTAACTAGCTTCCAGAAAAACTAAAAGCCAATTCATAGTTAGTAACATGTACCAATTTAACATTTAAATTAATTTTTTATTACCTTGCACCAGGAATGGCCTCTTAGGATCTATGTACCGATACCCCTGAAAGTATATCTTGCCCCAAATTTCTAATCTTATGCAATATTTTCATCTGGGGTTCACCTATATATCATTAATCAGATATCCTTCGCAAGAAAATTACTAAAATAAATCATAAGATGTTAGCATTCCATAGAAAAGTTATAGGTAATTCATTAGGGAATGCATCAAGACATGGAACTCTCAACTCTTGAAGTGATCACTTGAAATCCCTAGCTGTAAAAAACTCTCTATACACTAACTTGAAATTAAGTTTTTGATATAATATCTCATGCACGATGTAATTAACCAAACAAGCTGCTATGTGGGAATTTGGGAAATGACATCTATGGTTATCTAGGTACCTCTTATGGCAATGTTGGAAGAGTACAACCAGTTTAGGCAAGAAAGAGAAGACGAAAAGCAAAGGCAACGGGTCAGTATAATTCCACATTCAACCAAACTAGAATTCAACATTCATAATGGCTTGTTTATTACATACCTACATTTCTAATAAGGAGCATCATTTTTTTTTTCAGGATATAAAGAAAGTCCAAGGCCAGGTAGTAGTTGAGCAAGAAAATTTCATTGCATCGAGGCCAGCCACCAGCAATCGGTGCCTTTCAAACAGGAGTTTAAATGGAGGTTTTGGCAATGCAACCCCTTTAAACAGGAGGCTTTCTCAGAGTATCCAACACTTAGGATCAAACAGCATAAACTCAGCAACTCAAGGCATATCCTACATTAAAGAAGGAAAGAAGGTGCAAGGAAAAAGGATATTTCCTAGACCCAATTTCGCACAGCAAAAAGATGAAACAGCTTCAGTGGTTTCAACATTTTCCGGGCCCTTATCGCCTTGAAATTATGAGATTCCATTCTGAATATAATCACAAGTAATTGTAATATGTTCTGCAGAAAATAAATTCAGTTTATTGAGTCAGTTTAAGCCTCGAGGATAAAAAAAATACTTATTATGTATTTATCTGTTGTGCTTTTGTTCCAATTCTTAGGTTAAACGAATTTTCAGTTCAATGAAAAATAAAATGGAAAATACTTCAATTTTCTTGCTTTTTTGGTGCTTGATAATCAAATAGCTAGAGTGTTCCTTGCTCCTAATTTAGTAACTATTACAGATTTGACTAGAAGGAAATTTGTCAAAACCAAACCAACATTTAATACAAATTTTGTTAATAAAAAAGAAGAGCTATGCATCGTTTATCTGAATCGGAGCTTCATTTCCTGGCTTACGAAAGAAATGGTCAATGCGGCGAGTTCCTGCCGCGGCGGGTTTATCAGCAACGGGCCGGGAACGCTCTCGATCGGTCACCGTGCGCGCAACGGACTGTGTTGACTCGGCTGGCATAGGAAGCGAGTCGAGAAGGAAATCGCTCGTTGGTCTATGCCTTTTAACGGCGGTTCTGAGGTGCTCGAGCTTCACCGTCTTCTTTTTCTTCTCTGTAGCGACTTCGGCCGATCGCTCGGCGAGGAATCGGAGGAAAAGGTCTGTGGAACATGAGACGATGAATAAGGCCTCTGAGTTGATCTTGTTGATGTCCTTGTCCAGTTTCATGATCTTTTTAACCCTTCCTGTGGGGAATTCGGGTCGGATCGGATCGATGGCCTCATCTTCTGCCATTGATGGAACGTTAGGAGTTGGGACAGAAAAACACATATACAGAGAGAATTTAGGGTTATGAATGTGCGGGAACTTTGTGCTGCATTTTCCAAGGGTAAAATTATTCTCGTTCGACGCATTGAATTACATTGCTTTTCAAAATTCTAGAATGTCTTTTTGAGCATTTGTAGAGGGTGCTTTCGTCCAGTGAAAATTTACCAGCCATATCTTCTGCTATTTTCGCGCCAAATTGAAAGAATAGTTTTGATTTTTAAAAACGTCTAATTTTTAAGTTCGCCAGTCTTTTTTTTTTTTTTGGTCTAATTTTTCTTGTTTTTACAGCGAATACTTTTCCTGACTTTCACTTTTCCGCTGCCTTTAGTTGGTTTATTAAAGGATGTTGTGCAAAAAAAAAAACTTAATATTTAAAATGTTGTTAAATTATATAAGATTATTTAAATAAGTCTCTAATATTTTATTACATTCAATTGAATCCTTAAAATTTTATTTTTAGTTAAATAAACCTTTAAAACTAATCAAAATGTAATTGTATTAATTGTCTTAATAATAATTGTCATATTTTATTCTTATGCATTTAACATGAGATATTGATATATCATAATAATGGATAGGGTTATCATATAACAAATAGCCATAATATTATCATATTTGGTTTAAAATTTCATCACAAGAATGTCCTTCTCATAATCAATGGGAATGTGATTCTCATTGAAAATGGAAGAAATGTGACTTCTTCTTGGTGCAATCCCACCATTGATCTCTACTTCTTCTTCTTCAGTATTTATTCAATAAATCTTTATTTTTTTATTTTAAATTCAAATCAATTTCAAAAATTTTTAATGTATAATTTCCAAGCATATGATAATCTTTACGGGTTTTCTTTGTATTGTTGTGTACTTCAAGCTTTTCTTGTTCCAATATTATTTTGTATTTCATGAATATTTTTCAGCTAATTTGTTTCAACATTTCCAGCTTTTTATGTTCTAATATTTAGATTTTAGTTATTGTTTATCTATTTCAATGCATTATGTCTTTGGCTTGATTGAGAAAAAAAAAAAACAAAGATTAGGTAAGAAATGGGATGAGTGGCAATGTTCTGATGTAGCAGTACCCCTATTTGTGTTTGTAATGTTTAAATTTATGGTTGTTTGTGTTGTTAAGTGAGTTGGCAAGGGATGTCTAATGATAGAGTGTTAGGATGGGTTGTATTGTGGCTGGTGATTGTTCTTGGGGGAAACAAGTTTTGATATGTTGTGTGGCATGGGGAGACATGGCTTTTGCTTGTTGTGCAAGGTATAGGGTAGGAACAGGTCGAAGAATTTGGTAACATGATCATTTGTGCTAATAAGGACCCCATCGATCTAGCCTATAGTATTGCTTGTTGCTTTGCTTATTGATTTAGCTCTGAAATGAATTCTTAATGAATGCCTTAAAAGCAGTTTGATTGCTAGGAATCCATCTTAATTGTTAAGGACATGCACCAATGTACCTTGTGGAAGTAACTCAGCCTCACCAAGGATTATAGAAGCAAAAACATCTATGCAACAACATTGAATCAAAGACAGTAAACAACAGATAAAACACATATACAAAATCTTAGTAGGAAACTCAACACAAGACTGTTGGAAGACTCAACACCACAACGCAACTCATCAAGCAACAAGCAATAATCAACTCAATTTTGAATCCTTGATTTTGTTTCCTTAATATATTGTTACTATTGGAAGACTTTATAGAACCTTTTCAACTTTGTCTCTATAAACCTTGCAATCCAAATGTAAAATACACATAAAAAACTCAATAAAATTCGTCATTCCTTTTTTCTTCTTCCTTTACTCCTCATCTCTGTCTCATCCTTATTCTACCTAAAATTCTTTAAACTTTGTTAAAATTTCTTCACTGTATCAAAGTTATAATGCCATATTAGTAGTCCTCATTTTTCTTTTGTCACAACTCCTCTCTTCTCTCACTCCACCTCGCTCTCTCTCTCTTTCCCTCAAGTTTGTCACTGACGTCAATGTTTTTCCAATTTGTGTCCCCATTTTCTTCATCCTCTTCTTTTTTTCTTGCCCTTGTTGATATCTCTCTTTCTCTAGATATATTTTTTTTAATTTCTTTCTCTTCTATCAAATTTCTATCAACAAAAACCACCATCTCGCTCTTTTCTTTCTTTGGTGCTGCCTTTTTCTTTCTAAGGGATGGGGTTGGGGTGTTTAATAACCTTTTTTTCTTAGGATGCCCGAGAGATGTGTAGGTAAGTTTTATCCTTCTCAAAGCAATAATACCTATTAGTTCGTATAATTGGGTAATTTAAAGTTTTCAATTACCCTATTTCTATTATATTGCTTATAAAATAGCTTTTGAGGTTAGTTGTTAGGAATATTAGCTCAATAATAATGAAGAAATATCTAAGAGGGGGATGAATTGGATTTATAAAAAAAAATTCTTTTCCTCAAATTAAACTTTTAATGAAGGTAATCTAGAAACTTTTTAAATGAAGACAAGTTAAAAAAAGATTTTCAATTTGTGTTTTTCAATCAAATTGTGCCAACAATAAGTTAATGAATTAACAAATAAACAATATGAAAACTAATTTCTTACTCTTCAAGGTAAGGTAGAATCCTCAAATGTGAAAGGTGAAGAGTAAGAAAAGCAAAAATAATTTGATTAACAAATTAATGCATAAACAAGTTGAAGACAAATTTTCAAAACTCTTCAAGGTCAAGTAAAATGCACAAGTATAAACAGTGAAAAGTAAACTAAAGAACAAATAAGTTAAGAACAAATTTTCAAAACTCTTCAAAGTAAAGTAACATGCACAAGTGTAAATAGTAAAGAAAAAATGCACAAGGTATTTATAGAGGTTCAACCCTTCCTTGGTGCCTACGTCCTCTCCCTTAGCGAGCAAAAAAGTTTAATCTACTATTGAATGAATTCAATACAATGCCTTTTAAATGTTTAAACATAACCATTACCTTTTCAAGGATCAAGCATAACCATTGGTTTTTTAAAGTTTAAGCACAACCTTTATACACTACTTTTTAAAGACTAAAGTATAACATTTATGCCTTGCCAAGATTAAGCACAACCTCTAAATACTAGGCTAAGGTGTAACCTTTTTCTCTCTTACAAGATTGAAGCAAATATATCTTTAAAAGGTAGGTTTTGCTAAGTAAGTACAAGGGAGATAGAGTATGATGAATACAAAGATGTATACAAAGAATAGGAGTGGTAGCACAAAGAATTTGAAGCTTAAAGATAGCTTAAAAGCTAAGTGAAAAAATGTGTTTTGTTTGCTTTAGTTTGGTTTCTCTTTCTTTTTCCTCTTTTTCCTCATAAGATTTGATTATTGATCAAATGATGTTTTTAGCCACTCTTCTAACTTAGTAAATGTATTGGAAAAGTCTTTTTTATAGTTAGAGAAGCTTTGGAGCCGTTGGAGAAGGTTTAGTGAAGAAACTAGCCATTTTTCTTTTGATTTTTGTGTGTAACGGCTAGTTCTAGATCAAATGTATTAATACATTTTGGAATGTATTGATACATTTACATTTTTGTAAATGTATAAATATATTTATATATTGGAATGTATCAAAATGTATTGATAGTGTATCGATACATTTTGAAAATGTGTCCATACATTTTGGGTAGAACCATTTTATTTAAAATATATCAATACATTTAACTAAAGTATCGATACTTGTAGCGAAAAATATAGAAAATTCTTCTTTTTGAACCCAATTTCATGCCAAATACTTGGAAATTTTAAATCTAAATGGAAGAGAGATTTATAACTAATTTAAACAAGTTTAAAAATTATTCAAACAAGTTCAAAAATTATTCAAGCAATTTCAAAACTTATTCAAGTAATTTTAAAACTTTTTACATGGAAAGACTTGGGATCTTCAAAACTTACTTAAAGAAGTTTAAAAACTATTCAAACAAGTTTAAAAACTCATTCAAACAACTTCAAAAATAATTCAAAAAGGTTCAAATATCATCTTAGTAATCTTGATAATTTTTCACATGGAAACACTAAAGCACTTTAAAAGCAAATGTATGAAAGTTTTTAGCATTCATAAAGTAAGTTCAAAACCACATTCAAACAATTTTAAAAATCATTCAAACAAGTTCAAGGGTCACTCAAACAAATTCAAAATCATTTAAACAAGTTCAAAGATCACTCAAACAAGTTGAAAGATCATTGAAGCAATTTTATCACTTTTGTTATTTCAAAACTATAATAATTTTTTAAAGCTAATAAAGCTAACATTAGTCTACAAGACAAATTCGATTAACACTCTCTATTTTCCTAAGGCCATTCACCTTTTCGCAAGCAATCAACATTCTCTCACAAAGACAAAACCTTCCTTTCCCTTTCTTTTAGAAACACACAACAACTGTTTTTTCTCATTAAAAAAGAAAAAACTATATTCTCTATTTGTTGTTTTTGTTATTTCTTCTATCAACATTACTTCTACATATCTCAATATTAAACCTTAACCTCCATTAATATATATTTCCAAAATGACTCTCTATCTGATTTTTCTCATTTTTCCCATTATACTAGCTTTCTAATTGTATTTATATTTTATTAAGTCTAATCTTCTTATTTTCTTCAAACTTAATGGCATCCTTATGATACCTATACCTTTAACCCTTAATGTGTGCAATTTTGTCTCAATTCATCTGAATTAGACTAATTTTTAATTGTGGAAAACTCAAATCATAAATTTGATTGAGAGTCGAGACATGCTAGGCTTCATCGTTGGTTAAAACACTATGCTTGATTGGACAATTTCCACTTCATCTCAAATTCTTAAGATAAACCCTATATATTTGGTTTGGAAGAAATCTAATACTTTGTTCGAGGAAGGATCATTGGGACCTTAATAAAAGACGTAATTAAATTGTTATTGGGCTTGAAACTTCATCTAATGTTTGGAAAACACTCGTTGATGCTTTTGCTTAAGGGTCTCAAGAGAGGAGTTTTGTCTTCTACAAACTCTTCAAACTTATTGAAAGGACAATCTATCAATTTCTGAGTATATTCAAAAATTCAAAAGCATCTACCAT